TTTTAGTAACTTATAAAATTCGGAGCATAAAATTTTCTGAGTGTAATGAAGGGGGGAAAGGTAAAATAAAATCTAGAAGCACTCAGATTTTATATTACGCCCAAAAAGGACCTTTTTTTTTTTTTTTTTTTTTTTTTTTTTAACGTTTTGTGTGTTACGTATATTTACTGAATATCATGTTCTTCGCCCGTAAACCACAACATACATTTGAAAACAGCATATCTGTAGAATTTCCGCACTGGAGATAAAAACTGTTGTTTTCCGTACAGTGCTCTCTCTGAACTCGTTGAGTTTGTAAATTAAAAATTCGTTAAAGTTTTAGAAAATATGAAATAGATTAAAACAAATTCGAAATTCAGCCGTCCAGATGCCCATGTTCGGGTTGAGGATTACATTATTCAAAATTTGATGGCTCTAGATACTGCCGTTTTTGTCACAGTGCGAGAAACATACATGTATTCATGCAGATTCTTCATTATTTAATTTCTTTAAATATAATACAAGGCGATAATATTTGGTAACAACAATTTGTAAGGGGACACGGACATTTATATTAAAACAGCGCAAAGTGCCGCTTCGAAATTAACAGCCTTTCTAGGCTACCGCCACTTTGGGCTAATAAATTAAATTAACAGTAAATAAATAAATAAAAAAAAATCTTATATAAATACTAAAAATAAATTTAAAAAATAATCACTATAAAATACAAGCAAAATTAATTATTACGGTTAAATACAATTTTAATATTAGAATGAAATGTATAAAAATTATTAAGTAGTCAAAAGTGTTTGTCACTATGATGTATTATGAAATATAATTGAAATAAAATTCCTTTATAGAAATTGTACTATTATATTCATCTATAATTTTAAAAAAGCAGCACAATTTAGAATTTTAAACAAAACTTTCAAAAATTCGTTTTTAAGTATTTTAGTATTTTTTACTTATTTACACCAATAAAAAGCATAAAAATTGCAAGAGAAAATTGCTTGTTTGAAATTTTCTATTAGTTCAGATTTAAAATATTATTTTCTATTCCTTCGGATGTGATCAAAGTGACAGCCGGGAACGCCTCAGACGAGGGAGAAAACCTATTTGGGTTAGTCTATGTCTTATAAGGTCCATGCCCTCAATGCGATTCTATAAGGAGGGGGGGGGGATAATGATGTTCGTCGATTCTATAAGGGGAGGGGGAATATGAAAATGCACGAAAATTTACGGGCTTCCTGTGCTTCAGCTACAGACAAGGGTCATATGAGCCTAGGCGGTAATCTGGCCCTGATCTTAGCTTTCCACAAATATTTCTTACTTAACTTGATTTAAATTAAGCTCTTGACTTAATTTAAAATAAGAGACATGTGACCCTCCCTTTCTCTTAAACATTTAAAAGCAAGGAATTTCTTTATCGTCTTAATTTCAATATAATGTTAGAAAAAAAGGATTATTTATTCAATATCGCGTAGAATGTATATATATTAAACGCATAAAATTCATTAAAATAATATTCTGGAAAAACGAGAAATTCACAAAATGGCGATTTTAACAATAGCTAAATACGTAAAAAAAAAAAAAAAAAAAAAAAAAAAAAAAAAAAAAAAAAAAAAAAAAAAAAAAACCGCTTTAGTCAAGAACGCTTAAAATCGTCCTCCAACTGTGATTTGGTATAATTTCAGTCAGGCATCAATTCAGTCAATTTTGCAATATAATACAGATTGTGATTACAGACTTAAAGCAAGAAAATGCAGAAAATGATTGTTACATGCAGGGTTACCGCAAACTTTTCATTTTTGAAGCACTACAAAAATGCCTACACTTAGAATAACATACAGTTACGTCAATAACCCTTCTACTTAAATTTACCGCTACTGAAACTATAGCTCTGCATGCATTTAAATTCTCTCTTATCCATATACGGTAATTAATCTATAAAGATTCTGTACTGTTCACTTTAAGTTACAGTTGCATGTGAAAAATCTTAAGAACTAGTAAGCGAATAATTGCTTGCGTTCGTGAGACAGTAATTAAACTTAGAAAGGGTTAAAAGACCCTTTATTATTCAAATAAGATTTAATAGAACTCCGTCTGGGAGTTGTACAATAAAGCCGACACTCGGGCTTGAACTTAAGAGACTAAGAATTAAACTAAACTGATCTTACCTAAAGAAATATAGTCGAAGCTATCAAACTTACAACGGAGTAGGCCCCTTAACGCTAATTGACTGCGAAGCTATTAAGGGCCTAAAGTACGGCCGAGCGTAATAACTGCTTACGAGAGAGTAGCCTAAAAAGACGGACGCATGCTAACCAGAACCTCTGATTCTCTGCGTAAGACAGAAGAACTACGCGGTTAAATACCGCTCTTCCTCAATTTAGATTCAAACGTGATTCTAAAACTACGTTCTGGCCGGAAATGGTAAGTTGAAATTAAGAAGCGATTAGAAAGGAAGTTTAACTCAAAATTTAACTGTTAATAAAATTAACATAATCCTTACAAACCTTTCAATGCGATCATTAAAAGCAGACTTTCATAATAAGTCAACATAATAATTACGTAATTATCACATCATATATTAACCATAACAAACATTGCATGTAGGGGAACACCAGAAGGAAAGTGCAGAAGAGATATTAGGAATTGATTATTGAAATATTTACCAAGAAATTAGAGATTTGATGCATATTGTTACACAAATTTCATTGCAGATTTTTTTACAGAAAAATTGTAAATAAAATTTTCTTTCATAATTACAAATATAAAATAAATAATAACTAATTTTGAAGCCACGGCTAGAAATGTTAATTCCATTTTCATCAATTGTTTTGTTAGTAAAACCGATCAACTTTTTCCCAAGTTATATCACAAGATATATGAAATTATACACGGATAAATGGTAAGCAAATTTGAGATCAATATTATATACAACGAATAACACTTTCCCAAATAAGTATAAGCAAAATACTGATTCATAAATAAATTTCAACGTAACTGTAACACAAAAATATGTTGAATGATTGGGGGAGAAGCTATTTTTTTAAATGCTAAAGAGAACTTAAAAAATCACTAAGAAAATAAAAAATAAACCTGCAGATGCGAAATTTCTTTTTGGGATATTTTCTAGCACATTCAATAAATAAATGTATATCTTTGCATTATTTCACGTTTTCAGTCACATACCATTAACGAATTAAACTATCAGGCTTACTTAAATGAATGAAAGTTAAGATCTTGATGACGATGCGCAGTCGATTCTCATTAAATGGGACACACACCCTAACCCTAACATTTTAATTCAATTTAGCAACTGATTTAAATACAAGAAACTTACTTTAAAATGTAAAAGATTATTCGAAGCTCTTAAAAACTTTACCCAAATGAATTATGTGTGTGTGTGGGGGGGGGATAGGCATTTACAAATAAAAATGTTTTCAAATTAAAACATTTCCACAGCCGTTTCTTTTCGTTACTATTGTATGCTACAGTGGCTCACATTTATTCTCAGACATTTGTGTTTCCCAGATTTATTTGCAAATATCAGTTGCTAAATACTAGCGAAATAACTATTTTCTTTTCATGTATATTGTTACTAACCTTTTTTAAAACAATATTATAAAACACTTTTAAAATAATTTGACAATTTTAAAACACTTGTTTTGGAAAAATTTATTCAAAGCATTATTGGGAAAAAAATATTCAGAAAGTTCTTAAAATGAATTCAAATAAGTATTCCAACACTCTACTCTGAACAAACCGTTTATATTTAATAAAAAACACGAAAATATCGGAACATTCAAGATTTTGTTGGATATCCTTTAGCTAGAATTACACTTTTCATATATTTTAGAATGGATTCAATTAATTTTTTTCTTGTAATATTCAGTTTTGTACTATTCCTGCGCAGAAGTTGTTCTGTTCTGTACTATTCCTTCGTAAGAATTGCTTTTAGTAGAGCTTTCAAAGAAATGCCATGTTTCCGTGTTCTTTCTTCAACTCACTCCATATATGTTCAATAGGACTTATGTCTGGAGAAGTTTTGACAACTTAGGGCTATAGTAATCACACTTGGAAAGGGTTAAAAGACCCTTTCGAAGTGTTCCAAATCAAAAATGTTCCAAATAAATTTCCATATGCAGACGACAATTCTTGTGATGTAGTTTTATTTAAAACAAAAAATTATGACAAGAAATTTCACCTGTCAAAACATTTAAAAACTGACATGACTAAAACATTTTGAATAAATTATTTTATTACAAGGAATATTTTGATAATATATATTTTGTAATAAGCAAGGCTAAAAATATGCATAAAATATCATATTTGAAAAACATTTGGAGTCTACCATTCAATATTTAGCACAAGATCTATAAAATAGAACTAGAAAAAAAAAAAAAAAAAAAAAAAAAAAAAAAGGTTACAGAATCAAGATCTGGAAAAATTTCAAAAATACAAGTGTTCGAAAACAGATGTGAGCCACTGTATATTATTCGAGCATGCATTTTGTTGCCCATACAATATCTCTTAAAAATTATCTAAAAACCATAATTCTAATATAAAACATTTTTGCTTACAGAAAAGCTTTCATTCTCGAATTTCGACAAATTTGGTGCCCGGCATTTTCATATATTAAGAAAAAGAATTTTTTTACAGCCTTTAAGAGACTTAGGTGGAACCACGTGGAAAGTGCACAAAAAAGTATGATTTTGCACTCTTTAAGCGTATTAATCTATATAATATGTCTCATTTATAAATATTAATTATTACATATAGTACTCAGAAAAATGGAGCAAGTTTATATAGTCTTTCTACTAATTTTCATATGGCAAAATTAAAAATATGCAAAAATACAGACGTAAAAAAAAAAAATAAATAAATAAATAAAATAAAAAATAAAAATAAACGCAAAAAAAGAGGGAGGGAAGAGGAATAAAATTATACATAAATACATTAAAAGGAAAGAATCAGTCAAATAATTTTTTTCGAGTTTCAACCACTTCAACTGCTCATTTCCATAAACGCTTTCCAGAGATTTTACTTAACGACTTACGTATACAATTCTCACACAAATTTACAAACGATTTTTAGTCCATTTTGACGTTGCGATAGATATATCTCACGAAATGCAAAGAAGCGAAGAAAGATACTGTGCCCAAAGTCAGAAAGAAAGCATAGCAGGTCAATAACGTGTAACCAAAGAATTCCACAGCTTGTAGTAATCCGTCCATATTCGACCGCTGTACATAGTAGAATGTCGCGTAGATAAACACAAATACACCTGTGGATCTGCAAAGAAAGAAATAATAAAATAAAAAGAACATTAATGCATTGAGTATAGAGCTAAACACAAATTAACTGTTTATTAACCCTAGAACTACAAAAGGAATTTTTTCTCGGGTAAAAAAATCATTTGTAAGATGAAATTCTGTAATCGAACTTTTTCAAACGCACATAGATTCAGTGATCTCTGACATCGATACCAAAACTCAAGAAGTTATTTTCAAAAACGGAATGAAGTACAAGATACCTTTAAACATTATTAATCCTGAAAACAAGTAAATAAGTTTTGAATTTGTCGGCTTTAAAAATAAAACAATATATAATTAGTAACTTCTAAAAAAATCAAACACATAATATTTAAGTTTGAAATGTAACAAGAAAATGTATATTTTCAAAAATTATATATTTTAATTAAAAAATAATAGCAATAATAATATTTACAAAATATTTATATTTAAACTTCTTAATTTTATTGTTTAATAATCCGCCTATGTCTGTAACCTCCTCTTAATAGGTTTTTTCTAAGTTAAATAAAGTCTTTTCCTGTATTTTGTTGCATTCCACTAAACAATACACTATTCTTACTGAAAACTCATTGGTTCTGTTCGAGATAAAAATAATCAAGATATGTATTAATAAGCAATAAAATGTATTTCACACGTAATAATACAATTCAAAATTCTATCCGACTTAGCTTCTAAATATAAGTTTTCAAAACATTTTTAGTGAAAAATATTCAGAGAATTTTGTATTACCACTGTTTCAAAATATATTTATCCTATTATGTTTCAAAATACATTTATCCTAACAATGAGAATTGTCTTAAAGCTGCATGCATATTCCCAAGACACTAAGTAGTTTTAGTATTATCGAAAAAACAAATTTAATTAAGGTATTTGCAGCAGTTAGAAAAGGTTATCGATCGAAAAACATTAGTTCAAGAAATAAAAATTCCAGTCTTGACTCTACGTATGTCAATGACTGCTTCAAAGCAAACGAAAATTATCCGATCTTACTCGTACATGCAGTATTGAAAATTTTAATTCGATAACGTAGAATGTAACATAGTTGGCGCATGAAGACACATTAACTGCCAGCTAGAAGAGGTCTTGAGACTTTTAACTTGGTTAAACATTGAGTTATACTGTATAAAGAAAAGAGGGGGAAAGAAATGAGATATCAGCTTACACATAAATATGTGTTCTGGCAAAACAAAAATGTTTCAGTTTGAAAACAGAATAGAATAATACTCCTATCAAGCGTATAACTTTGGTGTTACTCAGTTGTCATAACATAGATATTTTTAAAAATACTTTATAAATTACAGTAACCAAACAAAAGGGAACTAACTATATAGAGAGAATCTAGAATTTTAAGCAAGAGCGAATTTCTCTTTGGCGTTTGGATGAAGTCTGTGGGTCTTCCGGCTGGGGAAGGGGGCGAAAGTCGCAGCTGTCTTCGCAAATCACGTTAACAGGAACGGTCGAAAACTTTGAAACTAGACTTCCAAAGTACGGGCTTAGATAAGCATATTAGATGGCCCCCTCGTAAAGTCACAGACTAGACTATAAAAGTTATTTCTCCCATAAAATTATTTTTTAGATCTGCCATAAAGAGATTCTGAAGTGGCAAAAGGTAAACAATCCTGCTGCTACTGAATATATGATCCTTGCGTTAGATATTTATTACACGACTCGACTAACAGATATTTTTTTATGTTTGTTTAATAAAGCACGCATAGGCTGTCTGCCTAAGAAAGGAATGTCTTCGTGGAGAACTTTTAAAGAAACGTGATTTTCCGTGCATATACGAAATCTTTGCAGGCAATCCGTTCACCGGATATAGAACCTGGATCTGTTTTAAAGTAATGACGATTATACATGTGTGTTTGCTGAAAGAAGGAAAACTGAATTGTTAAATAAGGATCTCGGAAGTAAATGTTAGAAAATAATTGTCATTCATGCACGTTAGCAAGTTAACATTTTCAATTATTAACAAATTTTGTCATCATATTACATGAATAATTTTATAAATAGTATAAAGCGGTTTTCAAGGCTTTTCAGTCTGATCAATATAGGAAGATACAAAGTTTTCAATTTAAAAAAGGTGGAGAAATCTTTGTTAAAGGGACTTTAAGCATTAAATTTTAATTTTTCCAGAATGAAAACTTTTTATCTCTATCCGATAAAAAAAAAAAACAAGATTCATTGTATACTAAATTATAATAAAGCCAAGTCACATTTATGTTTCAACAGTTTATAATATATGCACATCAGAATTATAGCTTGAAATTTTTGATTTGCAATTACACTATAACTCCAACTATCTGGATTCTAAAAATTGAATCGCATGTTTTGTTTCTAAGTTAACAGAATTAATTGCTATGGATTTCTTTAAGAGTGTTCTCAACTTTTTAATTAAAAAGTACTGTTCCTTGATATTATTTGAATTAATTAATTTAAATAATATCAAAGAATAATATAAGACATTACATACTTTATTTAATTAATTGAGATGAGCGTCTATAATATATTGATTAGTAGACTACAACAGCGGTTCTCAACCGTTTGAAACGCGAACCACTTTTGGTACGCAAGAGAAAAATACGCAAATACTAAGTACGTAAAAGTATTTTTAACTATTAAATACCCCAATATCCTATTTAAGTTTTTTTCTCTAACACTCGTAAATTTATGCGATCTGAATTTTGTTCAAGGTCAATAGTTGTTGAGAAGTCAAACAAACTTTGGTTTCAGAAATCTCGTGTAAAGACCATGTTGATGATCTTTTCTGATTGGAAAGGGATAATTCACAAAGTCCCCCGCCCTTGGTGACAGGTGGAGAACTGAATTTCGGTAGACATTCCTAAGGGACAGGTGGATAACTGAATTTTGCAAAGAGGTAATAGTTCTGTTCAACATCTCTTAATAATTCTGAAGAGAATAATTTATCATATTAGACCTGAAAGAGCTCAATACACTGACTGTTCTGTGCAGCACTGCAATCAGCCGTCCCATAATTCAGTTCTTTTCAAACACAATTTCTAGCAAAGAAAAGTATCACTGTTGCGTCGTTTTTGAAAGTTTTACCAATAAGGTACCCTATTAGTTGACCACAACAGTAAAAATACTCATTTCTACCATAACATACTAGTATCAATAACCTGTTTTAATTGCGTTGTGTTTATTCCGGATTAACCCTGAAATCAATTTGAGAAATAAACTGGTGAAAATCATGAGCACACAAATTAAATTTAACCATTGAATTGATCTAGAAAAACTTATTTATTTAACTATTAATGGCAATTATATATATATATCCATTAGAAAAAAAATCAAAATATATTCAACAAAATTTGAACTATTGTTTTACACATCAAACATTACTGAGTAATTATTTTTAACATTATTCTTTATAATTACTATTAATTTTATTTGCAAATCTGGTAAAACATACCAAAAAATAAACTATAAATTTAAGAACAGTACCCTCCCCGGGGAGAAAAAAAAAATAAATTTAACAAGTTACACTTTCCACTTCACACAGAATTCATCAATACAAAAAATATAATATTGCACTCAATACCATCATTTAAATACTATTATTGCACATAATAATTTTTATTATTTAATTTTTTTTCTTAGATTAATTAAATATGGTTTAACCGGATAAAGATAAGTATGACACTTTACACTTCTACAAACAAGTTCGTCCTGAGAGAAGCAAGAATGCTCTAATACAAGCACTATTTACAAATCATCCTCACCAATGAGTAATTCAAAAAAAATTCAATTAAATAATTTCCTGAAGAACTTAATTTTCTTAACCATTAAGTTAAGTTACAATAATTTTAATAAGGTTATAAATCTTTATTCAATTTAATGCTTTTACTTAATTGATACACCAAAGAAAAATGATTTCTATAGAGTTAGGATAAATTTATCAACTACACAAAAAAAAAAAAAAAAAAAAAAAAAAAAAAAAAACCCTACCTCAATGTTAGCACAAAATAACTCTTTACATTAGACAGAACTAGGACACCACCGAACAATGGACGTCGTTTTCGATGAAAGAAACAGCACACCTCTTTATTACGAATCAAGTTATCGTGCCAATCTGCAGTTCACCAAGCAAGATGAATTGTCCATTGTCCATATTTGCAGGCAAAGCATCGGTGAAAGCAGGACACCATTACTTTGCCGTTAAATTAGACTCAGAATAGGGTTGAGATGAATTTCCATCCTTTTGCATGGGTAAGGAAGCAATAAGGCAAGGTAAAGGAATCAATAAGGCATTAAATGTGGATCCAAGTTACTCTCTCTGGTTGCAGTGCATTATGCAGATTCTTCACGACGGTTAACCCATGGTTGGGAGCACTTGTTTACTTATTACAAAAAACATGAGTAGAACGATGAAAATGTAGCTAATATCGATGTTGGAAAAATTTTTGAAGTTGCAGATCATACATTTTTAAAGCTATTATCTATGCTGTCGGAATTCACTTAATAGAGATGCCGAAAATTTTCTCGGGCCGAATGCCACGAGAAACGGCTACTGGAGCCAACATCATTAGGGAAATTTCGAGAAGCAATGGCCTAACAATGGCCCTTCAGAAATTTTCATCTCGAACATGGTTCCAGAAACAAAATCACTTATATCCCTTGACACTTATATCATTTGACTTATATCCCTTGACAGTCTTCTGCCATCCGGATGAAGATGGAATCTATCAGCATGATAATTTCAGCTGTTACAGATGTCGGTTTGTTAACACCAGGTTCTAGGAGCATCCACAGAATTTTGCTTTCCAAAATGACCTCCGAGAAGCCTAGATTTAAATCCCATTGAACGTCTTTCGGCTATTTGGAAAAATGTATGCACGTTATCCACCACCAACGACCTTAACTGATTTATGAGAAATTCTAAAAGGCGTTTCGAAGGCTATACCTCTGGCAGACTTCCGTAAACTTATTAGACATCTCGTGTAAGCTTCGTTGCGTGGCAGC